CCCACTCCTACTAAAAAATTACAAAAAAATAGCCAGGCATGGTGGCATGCACCTGTAGTCCCAGCTACTGGGAAGGCGGAAGCAGGAGAATTGCTTGAACCTGGGAGGCAGAGGTTGCAGTGAACTGAGATTGTGCCACTGCACCCCAGCCTGGGCAACAGAGGCAGATTCTGTCTCAAAAAAAAAAAAAAAAAAAAAAGAAAGAAGGGAATGATGTAATTAGATGTGTTTTGGCTGCAGTGTGGATTAGCAAGGAGCTGGGATGGTCCAGAATAGTATGGCATATACCAGTGAGGAGGTCATGGTGCTAGAACTAGCTTGGACTAGAGTATGTGGGCGTGGTGAAGATGAAAAAGATCAGATGGATTTGAGAGAAATCTAGGAAATAGACTCTGTAGGATGTGGCATATAGAGGGTGGATGTAGACAGTGAGGAAGGGTACACAGAGTGAATGGAAGAGAACCAGGATTTCAGATGGGGAAGAGAGTTGGAGAGAACCATGAGTCTGAGGAACTGTTGAGTGTGGATTTCCTTTGAGACATCCCAGGGGTGGTATCAGATGGCGAAGCACAAATAAGCCTGGGTGAAAGATGGTGACTAATGCGACAGGTATGAATGAAATTAACCAGGGAGAAGGTGGGCAGCAGGAAAGCCCAGGACTCTGAGCTTTAATGGACAAGCAGCAGAGGAGAAATCTGCAGAGGAGACCCCAAAGGAGGGGCCAGAGAGGGAGGAGAAGAGCAGCAGGTGTCTCTGAAGTTGCAGGGGGAGAGACTGGTTAGGGAGAGATGGTGAGCGGCGGTGGGGGCTGCTGCGAGGTGAGGTGACACTTGGGTTAAAATGGAGACCTGCAGGGCACCGGTGCTGTCCATGGGAGCTGTTTTGGTGATTCAGAGGGGTGGGAGTCCACACAGGGATGGGTTGATGAATGATGGGAAGTGCCACAATGTGAATGTTTGTGTCCCCCAAAATTCATAGGTTGAAATTGTAACCCTCAATATGATAGTATTAGGAGGATGGGCCCTTGGAGAGGTGATTAAATCCTGATGGGATTAATGTCCTTATAAAAGGGGCCCAAGGGAGCTCTTTTCCCTTTTAACCAGGTGAGCCGCAGCGAGAAGACACCGTTCATGAACCAAGACGAAGGCCCTCACCACACACTGAATCTGCCAACGCACTGATCTTGAACTTCTCAGACTTCAGAACTGTGAGACAGACGTTTCTGTGGTTTATAAACTACCCAGTTTACGGCATTTTTAAACAGCCGACTGAACAGACTAGGATAGAAAGTAAGAAGATGAAGACAACAGAGTGTAGGCAGCTGTTTTGAAAAGTGGAATCATAAAAAAGGGGAAAGAGGGTGATAGCTGGAGGAGAATGAGGAGCGGGTGAGGGGTTTTCTCTTTCTCCCTCCTCCTTCCCCCCCCCTCCCTGCCACTCCTTTCTAATGCTGGGAGGGAGCTGAGAATATCTAAATGCATAGAAAGTGCTCGGTTGAGAGGAAGAGATAATTAACACAGGAGGATTCCTGGGAGGGAAGGAGTGCACAGGGTGGAAAACAGCAGGATGGCGTGGCCCCTCCACTGCAGCAGCAGAAGGGAAGGCCAGGCGTGTGCACGTGTTGGTGGCTGGTTTGCTTGACGGTGGAAGCTGAGGACTGCCTCTCTGCTGGCTGTGTATCTTCTCTGACAAGTAGGAAGCAAGGACCTCTAGTGAGAGTTGGGGATGGGAGGGGGTTTGGAGGCATGAGGAAACTGGTGAAGCTCTGGAATCATTATGGAAAGTGGGAAGAAGCTGGCCAGGGAAACCGAGAGGATTTCTGTGAGGAATGAAGACATTTAATGGCTGGCGATAATGACTTTATAGGAAGCCAGTTGGCCGGGTTCTCTGACTCACCCTACCAACACCGCAGCGCTCAGCTCCTTGGATACAGATACAGAGAAAGTGCACAGCTGGCTTCATCCAGGGCTGGGGTGATCAGAAATGAAGGACAAAAGAATTTAGAGTCTCAGCAAAAATGTCACTGGGCTGGGGCAGTGGCTCATTCCTATAATCCCAGCACTTTGCAAGGCCGAGGCAGGATGATTGCTTGAGCCTGGGAGGTTGAGACCAGCCTGGGCAACATAGTGAGACCTCGTCTCTACAAAACAAATACAAAAATGAACTGGGTGTGGTGGTGCCCACTTGTGGTCCCAGCTACTTGGGAGGCTGGGGTGGAGGATTGCTTGAGCCCAGGAGGCTGAAGCTGCAGTGAGCTGTGATTGTTGTCACTGTGCTCCAGGGTGGGTGATGGAGTGAGACTTTGTCTCAAAAAAAAAAAAAAAAAAAACTGTAATTGAATGAAAAACTGTGGAATATAAGGTGGCTAGAGGAAAGAAGTCAAGACAGGCCAGGACTGGTGACCGGGAAGAAAGCAGAGGACCCTGGCAGGTGAGAAGAGCGAGCAGGGCTGGTGGGAACAGCTGAATCACAAAGCTGGAAGATGAACGGGCTGAGTGTGGCTGCTTGAGATAGTCTGGAGGGGACCTTACAAGTGACAAGCCCCAAGTAGAACGTGGCTATGGATAGCTGAAGTAGAGAAGGGGTGAGGTTGTCGGAAACGAGGCCCCAAGGGTCTGAGAGGCTCGGGTATGGCCAGGTCACCGTCTGCGTGGTCGGTGACGTCATCCAGGAGGCTGCAGAGCACACGGGGTGGAGGAAGTCCTGTGAACCGGGAGCCGAAGTCTTTGATAAATGACAGGGCAGGACCTGCAAGTCCAGTAATGACATCAGGGAGTGTGTGGAGGGTCCAAGACAAAAAAAGCAGGGCCTGAAGGGAGGAGGGTCTTCCCCCAGTGTCCCCGTCAGCCTGGGAGGTGAGTGGGTTGGTTTCCCCATAATATAGGAACAAGCCAAGACCCAGGAGGGTAAGCAATGTGTCATGATTTGCAGATGGTAAATGGCAGACTGGGGACTTGCAGCTCCCCTGCACCATATCCTGTGTTACTCATGAGTACAGTTGCTGAGCTTGAACTTGGGTGGGTGCCCTGCCCCAGAATCTCACTTCTCTCCACCTCCAGCTCGAAGCCCCTGCTTTGCTGGAGGAGGGTCCGTCATGAATCTCAGGAGAGTGCTTAAGAGGGATGCTGTCTCTTTTCCCACCATGACTGCAACCTGTCATAGCCAGTGAGGGTGACTGACCACCCACCCTTTCTCTCCCTCTGCTCTCAGCAAACCCTAGAGGAAAGGGAGCAAGGAGCAGGGAGAGGACAAGTTGGGAGACTGTGGGAGCTGGGGTCAGCCTAGGGGCGGCAGCAGAAGATGACTAACACCAGCCAGCGTACTTGAGCACCTGCAGTGTGCTGTGAGCTGCTTTGAATATGGCTGGGTTTTGTTCTCCAGGCAGCCTGTGAAGTGGTAACTATCATCCCCACTGTTCAGATGAGGCCAGTGAGGTTGCAGAGAGCTTAGAGAAGGACAAGCTGAGGGCCCCACCTTGTGACTCCCTCTCTGTGGCTGTAGGTGTTGTGGACAACTGGCAGAGCAAACGGGATTCAAAAGGAGAATCTGTAGAGAGTGATCCAACCCCACAGAGCTTTTTATGGGGAAAGGTGAGCATTGCTAAGCCCCACACCTAGGGTAGTTTAGACACCCAGTACAGTGTGGCAGACCCTCACATCTATTTTTGGTTAAGATTCAGGACTCTTCTATTGGAAAACCAGCTCCCAATATGTCAACGTGGATTCAAGATCTCTCAAAGTGATGAGTGGTCGGTGAAAAAGAAAAAAAGACAAAGAAACAGTTTTCTTCAAAGCTGGGCCCAGGGGAGACACCACAGCTGCTCCTTGGTGGATGTCTAACATTCCCCTGAAAACCTCAGTTTTTCTTTAGGCTCTTTCAACAGGGGAGGGGGAGTGAGGTTGTACAAAGTGTCAGTGATAATTATACAAAAAGAAACAGAAGCAAAAACTGTTGACCAAAGATCACAATATGGTATTGTAAAAGCAGAACAATGTTAAAAGTTTCTTTCCATCAGCATAAAAACCATAAACCATAGCAGAATGGAGGTTAATTATAAACTTATAATTATCAGCAAGAAAATCATTGGGCTTACAGCTGCAGGGGGAACAGAATCTGACACAGGACAACCGGCCTGACCACAAAACTGCAAGAAGGGGGAGCCCCCCATGCAGGCTGGCAGGAGCAGTGGGAGAAGAAAGACTTTTGCATCCTTATCTCAACCACAGAGGATTGTCCTCCTGACAGATAGTCCGTTTATAGGCGCTCCATAAGGGTCGCATTCCCTTTCCAGGGTCCTAATCAATATGCCTTTCCTGGGAAAGGAATCTGGGTAATAAGCCTCTCTGTTACACGTCCATTTGTAGTCTGCATGCAGCGAGAAGCTTCGTACGTGCTGTCCTCTATCTCTGGCAGCCAGGCTATGTGGTTTGTCTTTTACACAGAGCTCCTGTTTTCCAAGAACAGCTCAGCAGGGCCAAAGTTACAAGCTACATTTTAATTTTTCACACTGTTCTTTGTGTCTGCAAGTATGAGTAGTATAGAGCATAACAAGTACAGTGAAGCAAATAATTCATCTCAGGCAAACTAAGTTTAAGATAGCACAATAAAGGAAATGTCAACCACGGTTTCTTCCCGTAATCGCAGAAGCCTCGGATTTCACCAGTCCTTCCAGAGGCTTGGAGATGCTCAGTCACCACCGAAGGGTCTGGCACATTCTCAACACTCTTCAAGAGCAAAGGCAGGGCCAGGAGGTCCAGAGCAGGCAGTGCGAAGCGCTGAGCTGTTAGGAGATCTAGGACCCCTGGGGACCCAGCGCTCTCCAGCCAAACATGTCCTCCCTCCCCCATCTATCCCCTGCCTCCTGCCGTGTATGCAGCACCGCGACCCTCCCACCAACGACCGCCATGTGGCCCTGAGCCCAGCCATGCATACAGTGAGAATACGAAGCACGCATAACGTCACCAGGAGAAAGAGGAGGAACAACGACTCTGCTAACTCACCGTGAGGCAGAGGGCAAGTACGGACAAGATTTGCAGAGACCGCGGGGCAGGCAAGGAAATCAACTTCTAAGAGGGTAACAGGGTCCAAAATGGCAGCCCCTATCTTGTTTCTCCCATTTTCCACCCCAGTGCACAGCCTGGGAGGGGAACAGCTGGAACGGAGATCCTGAGATCAGAAAACGGGCAAGACAGCTAAGCACTACTGCATGGTCTGGAGCTGGGACGGGCAAGGGGCCTGAAACCTCGTCCTGAAGGCTGGCCAAGGGCCCTGGAGAAGCTTGGTAGGAAGAGAGAAGCCACATATGCAGCCCTTGAGGGAGTCACAGCCAGCCCTATTTCCTGTGCCCACAGTGTCGATCTGAGGCCGGTGAGATGTGGTGGGAGGGGGAGAATCTGCTTGAGTTCCAGTCTAAGGAGGAACTGTTCAGCGGTCCACACCGCCCAACAAGGCAAGTGCCCTCTGAGGTGGTGAACTCCCTACCTGGGGACAGCTCTGCCTAGGCGCTCAACTGTCAGGGAGCTCCCTGCCGTGGGCAGGGCTGGGCTGACTCTGCCCGGCCAGCCCTGGTGTGTCCTGACTGCCAGGTGGCCTGACCTGTCACTTTCCCATTTCTGCTGCAGGGGTGGGAGAAAACATAGAAGGGGAGGTGGCACAGTCTGGAGAGTCTCCCCTCCCCACTGAACTTGGGCCTTCCAGTGGTCTAGGCTGCGGGTGGAAAAGAGAGAGTGTGGGGACCCTTATCAGATCATCTCTTGACCTCCTTCTGCCCGGAGTCCAGTTCTTCTCACAAAGGCTTGCCAAGACGCTACGAAAAAACCCTGGTCTGCGTCACCTCTTGCTCAGGGAAGTGGAGCGGGTAGGGGCAGAGGAAAGGGTCATATTGCCCTGGCCCTTTCCCAGTGGGGCAGAGCTGGGACATGAGAACCAGGCAGGGGAAGCATAAATCCAGTCGGATCCCAGCCCCCTTATCTTTCTTCAGATCCCACAACCTCTGGAAATCTCTTAGGACATAAGTGGTACTCTGGGTTTTTCTTAAAAAACCCAGATCCCACTCTCCTCCATGATAATGAGCCCAGGGAGAGTCAGGTATTGAGACGAAGCCTGGAGTGGTCAGAGGAGGTCAAGGGTAAAGGGAGGGAAGGCTGGGTGGCATCAAGAGTCTGGTTTGTGCTGCTGTGAAACAGGCATGGACTTATTCTTGGTATTAGTAGTTTAGTAGAAAACTCTTATTGTGGCCCCTGCCCAGGGGTGGTAAAGAGGTAGAAATCGGACTCACTGAGGCTTAGTGTTTAGGAACTAACCATCTCTTGGCCAGTCCTGCTTCCACTCATTAAAAAGCAAATGGGTGCATTTGGATCACCTCTGAGAAGAAAAAAAAAAAAAAAAAAAAAAGCAAATGGGGCCAGGCGTGGTGTGTCACGCCTGTAATCCCAGCTACTCAGGAAGCCAAGGTGGGAGAATCTCACGATGCTAGGAATTCAAGGCCAGCTTGGGTGACATAGAGATCCCCTGTGTCTAAAAATAATTGTTTAAAATTAGCCAGGCATGGAGGCACACACTTGTAGTCCCAGCTACTTGGGAGGCTGAGGAAGGAGGATAGCTTGAGCCCAAGAGTTGGAGGCTGCAGTGAGCTGTGGCTGGGCCTCTGCACTCCAGCTGGGTGACACAGCAAGACCTTGTCTCAAACAAAACAAGCGAATGAGCAAGCAAGTGGTGAGATCAGCAGTGGCCACGCCTCTCTTCCACCCGTTGTCTTCCTTCCTGCATCACGCTTCACTCCCCATCCCTGGAGAACCCCAGCTGGCTCTGGAGGAATTTTCCAGTCAGATGGGGTGCTGAACTCTGCAGGTAGAGATGAGCAGTTGGGGCCTTGAGAGGGAAAGAGAGACCCAGAATGGAGTTCTGTATCCATCCAGGGCTGCCTTGTGTGGGTGGAACCACCTGAAGGCATAATTACTCAGAGAGCTCTGGGCCCGGGGTCGGGCAGGAACAGAAGAACCTTGGGATGGAGGGGGGGTGGGGGTGAGGAGAACCCAGCATGCTTAGTTGTTTGTCCTGGGAACCTTAAGGAGCAGCTATTCAGCCACAGGGTTGGGGCGATCCCAACCTGAGGCCTCTTTAAGTGGCAACCCAGGAAAATCGAAGGCAGGTTACACAGGTCTTAGGATCTGCAGGGGCCTGGGGCAGGAGAGGATTGGCAAGGGGCTGGGGGCTTGGTGGGATAGCCTGATTGAAGGGTGTTCCTAAAATGAGATGCACCCACCGGGGTGACACCAGACACCCATACCCTGAGGCATGAAAGCTAGAAACACAGAAAACTGCCTTTCCTCAATGGCGCCAGGAGTCTGTTTTGTTGTCAAACAAGGTTAAGCTGGAACGTTTCTTTTCCAGAGGAGGGTGTGGCAGCACAGCAGTGTAGTGTGTGTGTGTGTGTGTGTGTGTGTGTGTGTGTGTGTGTGTAGGGGTGACAGGAGGGTGGTAATTCTGTTAGGACAGTGCTATGAGTTCATGTGCTGAGTGTCACCAGCAGAAGCATAGCTGGGATGGAGGATGGCTGTTAGGGACAGGGATTGTACTATGTTACTATTGTGTGTGTGTGTGTGTGTGTGTGTGTGTGTGTGTGTGTGTGTGTGTGTATGTGTGTGTGATGGAGTTTCCCTCTTATTGCCCAGGCTGGAGGGCAATGGCATGATCTCGGTTCACTGCAACCTCCACCTCCTGGGTTCAAGTGATTCTTCTGCCTCAGCCTCACGAGTAGCTGGAATTGCAGGCGCATGCCACCATGCTTGGCCAATATTGTATTTTTAGTAGAGATGGGGTTTCTCATGTTGGTCAGGCTGGTCTCGAACTCCCAACCTCAGGTGATCCGCCCATCTCGGCCTCCCAAAGTGCTGGGATACAGGTGTGAGCCACCGCGCCTGGCCAGGGATTGTACTATTAAAGAAAACTTATCCAATGCCACTTAATAAAGCACAGTAAAGCAGGCTTTACTCAGGACTTTTGAGATGGGTACAGGGACCACTGCCACAGGGTCTCTCATTTGGGAAGAGAAGTTGGGCTCAACTCCAAATACAGCATGGGTGAGTGAAAATGCAAAGCCCATGATCTCATTGATCTGTCTAATATTGATGTTGAAGTCTCCCACACTATTGTCCACACAATAGTGTAGGAGACTTCAACATCAATATTAGACAGATCAATGAGACAGAATGTTA